CTGTTTTGACCAAACTTCCAGCAATGCCAGTCATGTCCCATGTTACAGACACCTCCAGGGATATCACCCCTATTGCACACCTTTGTGTTATCAGCAAAAATACATACCTTACCCAACAATCCTTTAGTTATATCACTTACATATACAGTGCTCAGCATAAATGAGTACACCCCAACAGATTTGTCAGAAAACCTTTCCTTTCAGTATCAGCATTTTCTGTGGGACATTATATTACAAAATACTCCCACAAATGCGGGCCATTGATTGCAAACAAGATCTGTTAATTTGTACACAATTTTCCTAACAAATTAATTCAAGACCTTGTTGCAAAAATGAATATACCCCAATGAAAGTCTCAGAAGCTAAGCTAAATTTTAGACAACAAAATCCTAATTAACAAGAATTCAGCTACATGTGAGTCTAGTTATTCATTCAACAGGTGTCCAGCAGACAACTGACTATAAAAGGGCATTACTTAACAAAGAAAACCCCTCCCACTTTTATGCTGTCAGCAATGGCACCACATGGAAGAGTAATGGCACAAGGCCTGAGAAAGAAAATAGTTTCTTTACACAAAAAAGATAAAAGCCACAAGAAGATCAGCAAAGCTTTACTTGTCAGTCAGAATACTGTAGCAAAAGTGATACAAAAATGTAACAAAGATGGAACTGCAACCATCTCATAAAAGACATCCAGGCCATACACGGAAGTTAACACCTTGATAGGAGCATCTTCTGATGAGAAGAAAACCACTGTGCAAGTTCACTGCAGTTAGCTAAAGAAGTAGAAAGCCAAACTGGGGTGATTGTTTCCCGTGACACAATAAAGCCCATGCACAAAAAACTCCATTTATAATTTGCCAGGGCCCAAGCTGAAGAAGAAAACTACTGGGACTCTGTACTCTGGAGAAATGAGGTCAAGATAAATGTTTTTAGAACTAATAGCTTCAAAACTGTATTACATCACAATGTTGTACAAATGTTGTACAATGAATGGTGCCTACAGTGAAAGATAGTGGTGGCAGTGTCCTTCTATGGGGCTGCATGAGTGCTGCTGGTGTCGAGGAGCTGCATTTCATTGATGGTATCATTACTTCACAGATGTACTGCTCTACATTCAAAGAGAAGATGCCACCATCACTCCATGCCATTGGTCATCGTGCACTTTTCCAACATGGCAATGATCCAAAACACACATCTAGGGTCACTGTTGCATTTCTGAAGAACAGGGTGAAAGTGATTCAGTGGCCAAGTATGTGTCCTAATCTGAACCCAATTGATCGCCTAAGTAGAATTCTGAAGACTCTACTTGAGCATCACTCTCCATCCAGCATCCAGGCTCTACAAGAGGTCGTTCTTGAAGAATGGAAAAAGATAGATGTTGCAATATGTTGCCAACTTGTCCATTCCATGCCTAGGAGACTTGGTACTGTCCTTACAAATCATGGAGGTCATACAAAATATTAGATGGAGTAGTTTTTGTTGTGTGGTGTATTCATTTTTGCTAAAATTAGTAAAACTAAAGATTTTTTAATCTAAGTTATATTATTAACCTTACTTTCATGTAATGAGCTAAACAAATGTTCTCTAAAACTCAGTTTTGTCAATATTTTGGAAATTGTTCTTGTGTTCATTAAGATATTGATTAAAATCTTACTTTTCAAAAGGGTTGTGTACTTATTTATGCTGAGCACTGTAGAATAAATAGAACAGGATTTAGTACAGATCCTTGTGGTACACCACTAGTGAAGGGTCTCTGATCCAAATGAATATCATTTACAACAACACTCTCATATCTATCCTTTAGCCAACTGCATATCCACTGATCCACTCAAGAGTTGCCGGAGCTTGTACAACCTTTTATATGATCATTATGTGGAACTGTAACAAATGTTTTCAGAAATCAAGATATGCTATGTCCACAGCACCACCCTGATTTTCAATTTCTTTTAAAGAGGCCCAGTAGAACCCCAACTTATTAGTACTCCCCACTCAGCAGATCCCCAGCTCATTAGTACCCTTGTTCAGCAGCTCTCCAGCTCATTGGTACCCTTGTTCAGCAGATCCCCAGCTCATTAGTACCCTTGTTCAGCAGCTCTCCAGCTCATTGGTACCCTTGTTCAGCAGATACCCAGCTCATTAGTACCCTTGTTCAGCAGCTCTCCAGCTCATTGGTACCCTTGTTCAGCAGATACCCAGCTCATTAGTACCCTTGTTCAACAGCTCTCCAGCTCATTGGTACCCTTGTTCAGCAGATCCCCAGCTTATTAGAACCCTTGTTCATCGGTTCTCCTACTCAGTAGTACAAGTAAGGCTTATCTGTAGGTACAGTGAATATTTCTAGACATTCATTGTTTAGGAAATATTCACTGTTGATGCAGACAGTGATGTCACTGGCGAATGCACTCTGAAGGGACAGCATATTAAAACCGTAGCTATGACTCCTGCACACATGCACGGTAGTAATGTAATCGCGGTTTGCCCATTCAAAGGAGCCCGCAAACCTGAAAAGAAGACTGGATGAAGATGGAAGCCCTGTCAGCGCGGTGAAAGTGCGCCACTGATGGGCTTTATTTAAAAGTACGTTTTTCATAATGTGCTAGTATGCGATGCAGGGGATTATTTTATTTTGAATTTCCAGAGTTTACCACTGCTTTAAGAAAGCGGTGGCTAAAAAAAGCCACGAAAGTACAGAGACCCTACGCAGCCAATCTGGCTTTGGATTACTGAAACTGGAATTTTGAATGGGAACTGCAAGTTCATCTTTGTTTCATTCGAAAATTCCAGATAGATATTTATTATCAATGACTGTGATGAAAAGTTGAATGAAGCTATTGAATGGATTTGCCTGCCAACTGCTGTGGTATTTTGTAGTGACAAAAAGTATCTTTGCTGGATTGTAGCTACGTTTCTGCTTCCAAGTCTGTCTGAACTTGGAAAGAGTTCATAGTGGAGGCTGTCTGTGTATCAGCAAAATAAATTTCTTCTTTATTAACGCTGAACACATGGCACTCTCAGACACAGCAGAGTAATATTCGCTGGCAAGATTAGCATTTAAAGGGAAAGTCTACTAAAACAAATTCTTAAACTCTTTAAAGAGTAAGTCCAACCAAAACTGATATGTCAGTGTTTTGTGGATGCTGGAGGGTTAAACACCCTGACAGTCTCTTCTATCTATAGGTGCTATAGGTGAGATCTGTGTCTGCACACTTTGTCCATTATGAGGGGCTCCCACCACCCCTTCTGCATTTTTTATTTACAAAGTTTAAAAAAAAAAGATTTAAACATTATGCTCATTTAAAATGGACCAGTTTAATTTAAATAATCTGCCCATTAAGGGGAGCTCATAGCTTAGGGTTGCTACTTCAGCCCTTTAAAACTGAACACATATTAATTACACAGGTTCTGCGGCTGATTAAGGTGGTAATTAAACTCAGTGACTTATGTGCATTGAATTAACTTCAGAACCTGTGCAATTAATATGTGTTCAGTTTTAAAGGGATGAGGTGGTAACCCTACCGTAGCTTCCTGTAATGAGTTGAGAGCACAGGGCCTCTGTTGCATTGAAAATTCCAAGAAATCTTGTAAGCCCTAACCAGTTCTCCCCCTTGAACTACACCTCATATGTTATGGAGATAAGGAGTGGGGGAAATGTTCTGCACTCCTAACACACTTCCTGTCCCAGGGTGCTCCTTATACAGTAAAGTAAGTGAGGGTTGTCACTCTAGGACAGGAATTGTGTTACCGGCAGGATCACCAGGTTGAAATTAAAGTGTTACCAAACCCACAACAGTGAAATCAGTCTGTATATGCAGTAAAGCATTCTTGTTATACACACTGTGAAATCTAAGGGGTTAATCCCCTACATTGTGTAAAAAAGCTATTTGATCCTGACTTCTCTGATCCTCCACTTCTTTCAGTGTCCCCCTCTTAGCTCCTGATAAGACATATCATGTGAAGACAATCTGCACATGCTCAGTTTGGTTTGTATTACTAGAAAGGTTTTTTTTTTTTTTTCCTTGGAAGAGTGCATGTGATCAGCACAGGGCCAATAAGCACTGTCCAGACAGAGGTCAGGGGTTCTGAATCCTAGAGCAAAATGAAAACTCCTCCTATGAGCTGTAACATGTGCTTTGCTGAACACTGATAGAAATCACAAGACAGGTCCAGGTCAGGGGTCCTGCAGCCTCACAGGACAATCAGGGGAGAATGAAAGCTCCTCCTACAAGCTTTAACCAGTGCTCTAACTGATGATGAGAAAAGGTATTTAGCAGTTTATATTTACAAATATAATTGCATTTCCATGTTGTGTGTACTGTGGGAAACCAGATAGAGTGAATGCAAGGTCCTGGGTTTAGTAGAAAAAAAAAAAAGTTTGAAAAGGAATAATGTATGCCGCCACCACATCTAAGTACTGATAAGCTGTAATATTGTACAGTTTGTTCTTCAGTTTAGATACACCTTAACACTACTTTAAAAGGAAACTAAACCGAAAAAGAGTTGATTATGCTTTAACACAACCCCATCAGCAAGATGAATTACAGGAATTTTTTTTTTATTTTATTTTATCCCTATCCCCACCACCATTCTAGCCTAGGCCAGAATGACATTTACTGGGTCCTGCAGCTTCCTGGGATTCTTACATCACATCTCCCAGGAGGTTGCAGGATCGGAACATAGAGCAGGCAGGCAGGTCTGGCACGTCTCTGGAGTTGGCCAACTGAAGAGGACCAGGATGGCAGCAAAGGAGCTGCTGTATGGCACTCAAACATTGAATTGTAGCAGGTCAATGCTGGATTCACTGTGTGGACAAGTATGTGCTTTGAAGAGCACTACAGGTAAGTGGGAAAAACATTTGGGGGTGGATGGAGTTGAATACTGATTTAATGACATCCAAAATTCAGGATGAGCTCTTGTTGTTATAAGTAACAAGAACAGTGTAGACATTTTCAACCCCTAGTTGGAACAATTATGATGCCCAATATTTTTGCCTTCTATTAGCGTGCCGCGTCTTCCCCCTGTCAGGGGCGGACTGACCATTTGGAAACTTGGGCACTGTCCGAGGGCCTGGGGTCAGTAGGGGGCCCCATGAGATGCCCCTGGTACCTTTTTCATAGGCTTTTTTGAGTTTGGGCAAGGACACAGGGGCCCCATGATCCCCTTATATCCCGAGGGCCCCATGAGTTGTCAGTCCGCCCCTGTCCCCTGTACTACATGACGGCCTAGCTCTACAGTGATATACACCAGAATGGACATTTTTGGCTGAGTAAAGCAAAGTGAGCAGTGAATACAGAGATAAATCAATAAAGTAAGTGAAGTTTTTATTTCAGAAGGAAAACGCTGATTACAGAAGTAAGCTGCAGCAGTTCTGCTGAGCTGTAAATCATTGTGGTACCAGGCCCAGCGTGTTATTCTACAGGTTTAAGGCGATCAGGCTTACCGTGCTTTGCGCAATAAATTTTCAGTTGTGAAAGCTAATCGTCCTTGCCAGGGCTGGTATGATCTGACGTTCCTGTAAAATACAGCAGCAGAATTTTTACAAGGTGATTGTATCTTGCAAAGCAGAGCTTATAAATATGCTGGTTAATTATAAGCATGAAAAATGGCACGTCGTATCTTATATAAATATATTATAACAGTGCTTGTTGTTTGATTTTGCATGCAGCATCAAATTTTATTTTTCTGATTCAAAACATGGCTGAATATTTTTAATAGGCAATAAACAGGCTGAATACATAGGTTTTATTTCAAGCTGAACTCCAGGCAAACAGCAAGAGACACAGGTCCAATACATACAGCACATGGAAGCTGGTTTACCTGCCCAAGGATTTCTGGCTTTCCAGTGTTGGGACTTACACAACTCTGCCATGCAGCAAAGGCCTTGGCAGGGGAGGCAACCTTACTTTTCTCTGATGCAATTTCACTTCCAGGTCTCCTTCCCATCCCCAGCCTGTGATTGACTAGTAAAAGAGACTATTGAGCTCATCTCTTTGTCACTCTGCTCAGAGGCGTTCCTAGGGTTGGTGTCACCTGGTGCAATAACACGTGGTGTCACCCCTCCAGAGAGGAAGGGGCAGTACCAGTGTAGCAGTAAAATGAGTATCCCATGAAGATATGTATCCCCTGAAGCAACTGCACATGTGCCGGTTTCAGACTGAAGAACTCGATCTCCAACTTTAGCACAGAGCTGCCACAGTTAACCCCTTACAGGCTGCAAATCCCATGCTGAAGCTGATCCCATGGATCACTATGGGTTGCAAGATCAGTTAACCCCGTATAGGTTGATCGTATACGGGGTTAAATGATCTTGCAACCCATAGTGATTCGCAGGATCAGCTTTAGTGGTTTGCAGCCTGTAAGGGGTTAACTGTGGCAGCTCTGTGCTAAAGTTGGAGATCGGCTCCTTCGGCCAGTTGCTTCAGGGGATATATATGTTCAGAGGATACTCATTTTACCGCTACACCTGGGGCAGCTGTCACTGTGTCGGGAATCTGGGATCACCCCAATAACTGGCCAGGACCTTCACAGAGCCCAGAAGCTCTGCTGGCATTCTGCTCCTGCACCCCCTGTGATGGTGTCACCCGGTGTGGCCTGCACCTCCCTAGGGATGCCACTGACTCTGCTATCCCCTCCTTTTAGCATGTTCTGGCAATGCAATGCACCTGATTTGCTCCTTGCACTTTTTCTTTCCACTCTCTGCTGTACAGAGACTGCAAGAAGCTGATACCAAGTCAAATTGAGATGCTTACACTACTTGTATTTTTAAAAAAAACAACCCATACATTTATGGATGTATTAATAGAGAAGTGTGGTCAAAGCTGATGTCACAGAGCAGCTCCAGGTTCTGAAAGAATCCCGACCATTTTGTCAGGATCCGCCCACATGCCTGGTGGTAGCTGGCCCAGACTTTCAGCATACCACTGAGAGCCTGAGCCAGCCACTCCCACCCAGCGTTCCAGTGAACGCTGGAGGGGCAGAGCAAAGAGCTGGTGACTGACAGTTGCTCAGAGCAGACTAAGAACTGAGTAATCAGTAGTCATAAAATTGCTTAGTTGATTAGTTCTTTGGTTTAGAGCCAGTGCGGGACAGCTGCAGCATGGAGGTGAGTCTGTGTATTTTTTTTTATAACGCCAAACATCTTTTTAAACCACTTGCCATCTGCCCTATAGCAGAAGTACTGCTACAGGGTGGCATGGCTGCGTAAAATCACATACATATAAGCAGGGGTGGACTGACCATTTTTGGAAACTCGGGCACTGCCCGAGGGCCCGGGGTCAGTAGGGGGCCCCATGAGATGCCCCTGGTACCTTTTCCATAGGCTTTTTTGAGTTTGGCAAGGACACAGGGGCCACATTATCCCCTAATACCCGGGGGCCCCATGAGTTGTCAGTCCGCCCCTGCATATAAGTGATATTCTTTTCCGAGTGGGGGGCTTGTTCGCCACCCTACCGGCGCCACTTTTGGTGGCTGGGAACATCAATCACCGTGTCCTGGCCAGCGACTCCCGACCCGCACTCGGTGATCATCAGCAAAGCTGACAGGGGAGAGATCCATGTGTAAACAACACAGGTCTCTCTCCTGTCAGCATGGACATGCTGCTTTGTATCTCTCTGCACAGCATATACTTTTTAGTGTCTTTTTTACAATGCACCTACTATAAGTGACTTCTAAATGTAGCACAGAATGGACAGAATGGACAAGGTGCATGCAATCCAGTTCCACTGCAGTGTCTTTTTGCAGCCTTTGCTTTTGTCATAATCAGTGGGGTAAATGGCAGCTTAGGGGGGATGGGGGGGACAGATGAAACTGTGACACAGGTAATTAAAAGATTTGCTTGGGGGTCGACTTTAGAGAAGAACTGTACTTTTAGTATAGTTATCCTTTAAATGACCTCCATCCTACACTCCCTACCAAAAACCTTCCAGTTCTTAAACTATTCTGACCCTGGTTCTCCTTGTTGTTCAGCCTGCTGGATGCCACAAAGCCACCACAGCAGAAGTCTTCCAGAATGACTGCGTGGCATTGCTCTGGGTGCTTTTCCTGATAGAATAGTGGACCAGGCCTTTGCAATATTTACTAAAAGGTCCACTTACTGTCTACAAAACCCATGTGATAATCCAGGAGCATAATTTGAAGACAAGATCTGAGTTTTATAAAGGAACTGCCTGAGCCAGTACCTTAACGGCAGGATCACCTGGAGTTATTTATATGAAAGCTGCAGATTTACATTTTTTGATGTACAGTATTTAAAGTGAAGCTTCACCCAAAATGGGAAGTTCTGCCCTTCCTCTTCTTCCCCTCTCCTCTGCTACATTTGGAATATATTTTTTTTTTGGAGGGGGGGCAGGTGCTTGGTTTTGACAGGTACCTGCTCCCACTTCTGGCTTGATCTTCATGGTGAATCCATAAGAAGTTCTCCTCACCCAGTGGTGTACTTTGGTTTTGTGCTGCCCTAGGCAAGACTAAAATTGGGCACCCCCCATCTAAATGTATCCCACCCCTTCCTGTTTAACCACTTGCCCTCCAGAGGATTTACCCCCCTTCCTGACCAGGCCATTTTTTGCATTACAGCAATGCGTTACTTTAACTGACAACTGCGCAGTCATGCAACGTTGCACCCAAATGAAATTTACGTGATTTTTTTCCCCCCACAAATAGAGCTTTCTTTTGGTGGTATTTGATCGCCTATGTGTTTTTTATTTTTTTTGTGCTATAAAAAAAAAGACCGATAATTATTGCTATTAAACATGTCCAATGAAAAAAATTTAAAAATCAAATTTGTGTCATAAACTTAAGGCAAAATGTATTCTGCTACATGTCTTTGCTGAAAAAAAATCCCAATATGTGTAAATTATTTGGTTTATGTGAAATTTATAGCGTTTACAAATGGCGTTATATATACTGACATTTTTTTTTCCCTAGTAATGGCGGCGATCAGCGACTTACAGCATGACTGCAGCGGGCATTCAGACCCTTGGGGGAACTGACTTGGTGTCACTGACATCCCCAGTGACACCGGCCGGGACCCGGTAATTGACAGCCAAAGCCACGAATAATAGCGCGAGCATGCCCCCTACCTGGAAAGTCAAAATCACACATATATATATGTGATTTTACGCACGCCTGCTGCCCTATAGCAGTGTTTCTGCTATAGGGCAGCAGTAAAGCGGTTTAAGATCCACCACTTCATCTGTAAACCCCACCCCTTCCTCTTTAGGCTCCACCTTTTACTATTAGCGCCAAACCTCTTCTTCTCTGTACACTAAAATTGGATAACGAGTGCATATATTTTGAGTGCAGTGACAACAATGATGGGGCACTATTCCTCCCACACTGACAACAATGATGGGGCACTATTTCTCCCACACTGACAACAATGATGGGGCACTATTGCTCCCACACTGACAACGATGATGGGGCACTATTCCTCCCATTGACACCAATGATGGGGTACAATTCTCGCCATTGACACCAATGATGGGGCATTATACCTCCCACACTGACAACAATAATGGGGCACTATTCCTCCCACACTGACAACAATGATGGGACACTATTCCTCCCATTGACACCAATGATGGGGTACAATTCTCGCCATTGACACCAATGATGGGGCATTATACCTCCCACACTGACAAAAATGATGGGGCACTATTCCTCCCACACTGACAACAATGATGGGGCACTATTCCTCCCATTGACACCAATGATGGGGTACAATTCTCGCCATTGACACTAATGATAGGGCATTATACCTCCCACACTGACAACAATGATGGGGCACTATTCCTCCCACACTGAAAACAATGATGGGGCACTATTCCTCCCATTGACACCAATGATGGGGTACAATTCTCGCCATTGAAACCAATGATGGGGCATTATACCTCCCACACTGACAACAATGATGGGGCACTATTCCAATCCTCCCAGCTCCAGCAGAGATGAAGTTTGTGAGTAGCACACATTTTTCACTGACCACAAATGCATGACTGAGCCTGAGCTATATATGGATTGAGTGGCCACCAGTGTAAATGGGCATATGTTTGCACTGACCAGACCACCAACATAAAATAGGGCCATGTTTACATTGAAGACCCCTGCTCCAGGCTGGGCTCCCTCCCTTTCCCCCATCCACAGCCAGCATGCCTGCAGGAGCACCCCTCTCTGCTCTGCTCTCC